CAACATAGACATTCTTTCCAAAATCAAATTGGAAAAGGAGGGGGGAGGCAGAGCAACAACAGACCTTGCTCCACATCTTGTTCTAAATCCAAGCAATACAATCTCTTGCTGATAACCCACGGGAACGTGTACATTTCACACATGCACACTTTTCCATTAATGGCTGGAAGCCCATGCATTGTGTTCCTATTATTGAGCTGTCAGAGTTCAGCAACCTCTGACAGATTCCTGGTGTTACCTCATAGGCTTTTCAAAACAACACAACACAAAAACAAGGCAATTCAGACCAAACAGCTACACAAGTCAACTGCTCTATGACTGATATAGTCCTAAGTAATATATGCAAGTATGAATCAGCCCTTCAACAGGGGAACAATATTGTTCTTTAAAATCTTTCATGTAGAACCTGCTGCCAGCTCCAAGTTCTGGGACAGCAGGTTAGCTCCTGGGAGAACATCCCCAAGAGAACCACTTCCTCTTCTCATCTCTGTCATCTGGGCCAACTGCACCAAGCCATTCAGAAAAGGATACGGCATGTTTCTGCATCCAGAGATGAGCACAAATGGACTTTGAAGTTACTCCACCAAAGTTGTGGATCGATAAAATGGGTAGAAGCTTTTTACAGATTTCTCCAGGGAAGGAAGAAAAGAGCACTGAAAAAAGGAGACATTTTCCTCAGGAGTTTCCAAAAGGATTGAATGGAAATGTAGGAAGCTAAGGGGGTTATAGACCACAAAAGAGACTGAGAATTCTGCCATTAAAAACAGAATATTCCATGGACACATCCATGGGCCATCTAGTCACTAATAAAGGCAAGGAACCATTATTTATAAGGCCTTCACCACAACTCCCTTCTCTTCTGAAAGTAATTTAAATTGAAGGAGAACTGGAATTATCAAATTGAAGGAGAACTTGGGATGGAGGAGGCAAGAAAATTGATTTGTTCAGCATTTGACCCCATCTTTGTCAGATGAGTAACAAGGGCTAAAACGTCCTGGAGGGTGGGGATGACAGGGTTCTCCATCAAAGGCTGTAAGCCTCAGGAGATACATGATGACATCCGACAGCTTATATGAATCCAGTGGCATATAGTCTCATGGTGAATATAATGTACAAGGAATGCACCTTGATATCTGGCATTTCTTGAGAGCAAAGGATAAAAATACCACCAAGCTCCCCCCAAATTGCAGTTGGGTAAGAATTTATTCCCACCAACATTGCACTAGACCTTTTGCTGTTCCTTCAATGCAGGCTTCTCTCCTTGTAAGCAAACATAAAGACTATAGAGGGTATGTAACACCATTCTTGTCCATATACTGTCTGACATACACTTTGGCTGAATTCGTACCTGATACTAAACTTAGTACCCTGTTAATGCTAAACCACAATGCCTGAATACACACTTCAATTCATATTAAGCCCTTATTCTTTTAACCCAATTGTTGAATAAGCCATAGTAGCCTGATTCGCTTACAATGCTAAACCAAAATGCCTCAGTTAATGCATTGTATCAAGTTAAAACAAAGTGTATCATGTGTGAATCAGGCCAATGGGTAACCAGACTTCTCTCAATGTTCAACTGTAGGTATTTGTCTTTTGCAGCATTCAAGGCACTGAACAAAACAATCAGCACTGTTTCTTTATAACATAGAGGGGAGGGAATTCAAGAGCTCCTCAAACCAATATTCATGATGAAAATGTCTTCCTCTTTCACGTATTTTCAATTTTCCTTCAATTATTTAAACATAGTTCTCACAAGCACCAGATGGTGAAGTTACCTCTGATTCATATCACTTCAGACCACAGATGGAAGCTCTACTTATTGAAAGCATTCTTCCCACCAAAAACAAGTAATTTCAAAACTCCCTGAATATACAAAGGCAATTTCCATATTCTAATTTTCAGTGGTTAAGACAATTTGTGGCTTATCTCTTTATTTCACAAGGGAGCAAAAAACCTAGACACAGATACATCATTTCAATTCCCATTTGTGACATTTTGATCCCTGAAGAACCACCTGGTCCAAGCTTTTGTCAAAGAGAAGAGCTTCCATTCATTAATGCTCAACTAATTATCTTGCATCCCTGAGATTATTATAACTTTCTTCAGATGATGATGGATTTCAGAATGAATTTAACTGAGCAATTATTCCAGCTAATATGTGCTGCACTGCAAGAACCACCTTTTGCCCAGTATTCCAAGAACTTCATTTTGCTTGACCACAAGAATCTATAAATAAATAAATAAATGCCACAGTTCTCTGCTCAGTCCAAGGAAATCAGTTCAGCCTTCCATAACCTGATGTCTTCCATGAATGGGAATCCTGGGAACTGCAGTCTGAAAATTTTTGGAGGATAATAGTTTAAGGAAGGTAGATCTATCTGTATGAGAAGGTTTATACTCATCTTTTCTTCCCATCTTTGAATTTTGATGGAAACCATCTATTTTCAGCATAGCCACCACCAAATTTCAGAACCACATAGTCAGGCTTCTGCAGAGCTGAGATTTTTGCAGTGGCCAATGAGATTGCCTATGGAATAACCACCCTGATGTTGCTGGTCTACCCAGGTGGAAAGGTGCTCTCATTTTCCAGATAATTAGATACTCATTAACTGATTGTTCTCTTCCTGTACTACACACCATGGCAAGGACATTTAAATGGTCTCACTGTCCTATCATCATGGAAATCACCTGAGTCAGCAACCATTCCACGAAAAGGCCATCTGAGTTTTACCCACAGTGTAACCAAAAAAATAAAATAAAATAAAAATAAGATGATAATAATACAGTTTCTGGACTCAACATTGCAGGTAGCAGCTGGCTGGCTGGCTGGCTGGAGCAAGAAGAAAAATCTAGAATGCAAGGTCAGAGAGTAGGGGCTTCTCACTGACATTTTACATTCCATGTACATGAAATCTGTGCTAGAAACTTCTCACAATGTCATCTCCTCTGCAGCCTATACTCCTGAAACAGCTTTACCATCTATTCACTCTTTGGGTGAACTAGACCTGAGACTAGATCTTCACAGGTACTGAACTATCCACAAAGATTGAGAAAGAGATCTATCCAACCAACAGCAATAACAAAAGCCTCAATGTTCTTCAGGGCTTGGTGCTTCAAAAGTGTAAGCACTGCATTTTTTATAATGAATTGTTCTTGCTTTCAGCTATAGCAATCAAACTATATCCATGATTGCAGTGGGAGGGATGAAATCTGCATCTAGGCATATTCAGGTATCTGAACATTACAAAATATCATTAAGGACCACTGCATACCACCAAGTCAATCAGGACATCAGGGAACCAGGCTAACACAAGTTGTGACCCACCAAACTGAAAGCCACCTGCAGACATATCGAGCAGCTTCCAACATAGGAACCGTGGTTGATCACAAGCTGAACCTCAGTAAAAATCACAGCCCTAAATCTCTCTTTCTCCAGGGGGGGCCAAACCCTGAAAAATCTAGGAACTAACTGCCACGTTTGAAAACCACATCTTCAAAGGACACAAATGTAGGGAAGAATGAGGATTTACTAGGATCGGAAAGTAGAGAGAACCTATGAATAGGGTCTCCTTAGCCCGTCTAGTTTGCTCACTCTCTGGGTCTGAAAAAGATGGGCTAGTCGGTGAACAGCTTTCAGGCCACAAAACATGATGGGAAAACTGCCCCTTATCTGGTTATCAGTCCACCCATCTTAAAGTTGCCAAGGTTGAGAAACACTGCCATTGTGACTCCATCAGCTTGAACCACAACCACGCTAACCCCCCAAAACTGGAAACCATTAAGAACCCTGAACGTCCAACATTTTTTTTTAACAAAATTGACCTATATGACACAGAAATCAGGTGGCACAAATCTAAAATAAGACCCTCTGCTGTTTTCACAAGAGTAGTACAGAACATAATTTTATTATCGTCATCATCATCATGATTATTCTTAGACCTGATCACATGGACTCTCGAATAAATCTATACATTTCATCAACAGTTTCTGTTTGGTATATTTGTTCTCTTTTTAAATTATATTGAATGATTAATGCACCTTTGTGACCAGAAAAACAAATCAGGCATATTTAAATACATATGAGGAGTACATAATTTTTCCCCTATTTAGTATACAAAGTACTTCATAAATATGAATTATATTACAAAAATAATTTCTGAGACGCTCACACAGCAAGCAAATTTTTGAAAATTTTGGACAACCTTTGGGGGTTGAAAGGAGTTTCACGTGGGTGGAGTCGGTTTGTCTTAACATCAAGTATTTTCTTCCAATCCTTGTTGCCACTTCTGTTTCGTTTGAATCAATTTTATGCAGATTTCTGGTATGGATCAGACGGTCAAATTGATTTGTATGGATGCAATGAACGGTAATTAAAAAAAAAAAAAGATTTCTGCACAATTTTAACATTATAAATCCAGCGTTTTCAAGATGCAGGCCGTAAAGGTAACCAATTTTACACATAACTATCGAATGTTCTTTCATTTGCATGCTTTTGCGGTTTGTAAAAACTTTTCAGGTAATCACTAAAACAGTGCCGCTTAACCACCACATATTAAAGGGTTTAACTGATTTCAGTTCCTTTAGCAATTTTAATCCACGTGGAAATGAATGATTCACCACCACACGGACCAATTTCTTCTGCTTCTTCTTTTCTCTCTCATTAGTTTTTCTTCTTGTGCATTTGCTTTAACAAATCACAAGGAGATGAAAGTTTTGCAATTAGGGTAGAAAATATATATGCCTCTTGAGGTTAAATTCAGTGTAATATGTGTATAAAGCAACACGTTGGCAATAGAGTTTTGCAGTTTTCCCTACCGTTTCCCCACAGGGCAGAGTTTCAAGAAATAAAATCTATTTGGAGCTATAGTTTTATCACACACCCATGGATCACCTGCCTCTATCCCTAACAGGAGGGTCTCATATTTGGAAATGAAAAGTCAACAAAGGCACTTGCATTGTTAAATAAATGTCCTCTGTAGGAAATCAGATTGCATGGCCTAGAATTTATTCAAAGCCGTTTGCTCTTCCAGGACTTGCAAATAATCTGGCGAGCCCTGAAGTTTAGCTTTCAGTTCAAAATATTCACTTTTTCTTTGCTCAACCACTATCTTACTGTGATTACCCCCTATTAAAGATTTGTTTTTCCGGTCTGGCTGTTTCTCCGGATACCGTATTTCAAAGCCACTGACCCCTATACTGTTGTACTCCTTTTTATTTTCCAGAAAATTCTGAATAAATACGTTCGAATCCCGCCCTGGCAATAACTCATCCAATTCATCAATGGTGCTAAGTCTTTTTCGGGTATCCGTGTGCAATAAATCTTTATCTTTGTCACTGTTGTTTCTCAAGATGATTTTCTGGCCTGCCGGCTCAGCAAACATGAAACCAGTTTCTGCCTCTTTCAGGCCACACGAATGTCTTTTGCTCATGTGCTCAATTGTTTGAGGGATGAACGCCTCGGCCCCCAGGGTGTCCTTTTTGCTGGAAATGTGGTCGTGCTTCCGTAACTGCAGCTGCATCGAACTGCATTCAGGGTTGCCCAGCCCTTCGTGCCTCGTGGAGGGTTTCTTGTTGCGGCGGAGCACGAAGACGAGAAGGCAGAAAGCGACGAAGACGGTCAGAATCAGGACCACCAAGATGCTTAAGATGAGGATGGAGAGGGGCACTGGACCACCAGGAGGACTGCGGACAGGACCCAAAGGGGTGGTGAATGTGAGTACAGGTGCTGGGCTGGTGAAAAAAGCAGATTTGAGGAGCTTGGGACACAGGATCTCGTTTTTGAGAGCCTTCAGCTCAATGTTAGCAAACTGCACGGGGGTCTCACACTTTAATTCCTTCACCACGATGCCTTCGTTGAGTTTTTCCAGCCACAGTTTCAGAGCCACCAAGTCGCAGGTGCAGTCCCACGGGTTCCCTTCCAGATCGATTTGGGTCAGAGATTTCAGGTGGTCCAGCACGCCACTTACAGGCAGGTACATGAAATGATTGTTGCGCAGGTTCAGCCGAGCGAGGGGAGCCCGGGCAAAGATATAGGCCGGCAGACTTCGCAGCAAGTTGTTGTTCAAGTACAGGAGCTGCAGGTTAGGCATCAGATCAAAAGTGCCTGCTAAAATCTCTTTAATGACATTGTATTCCAAGTACAGGTACTGAAGGTTGTGCAGTCCGGCAAACATTTCAGGGCTGAGACGCTCAATCTGATTGCCGTTGAGATACAATCTCCGTAAATTGGTCAGGTTGTGGAAAACCTCCCCTTGGATGGCTACGATCTGATTGCTGCCCAGATGGAGCAAATCCAGCCCTTCAAGCTCCGCAAAGTCAGATCTCTCCACATTCTTGATATAATTGCCATTAACGTGCAACTTCTTGGCATTCAAGGGCTTAGGGACCAGTTCAGCTAGGGACTGGATGTTCTTCTCTTGGCAGTTGATGCTTAATCCCAAGTCTGAAGGGTGGGTTTTGCAAACACAGGGGTGCGGGCAAGGGGTCAGAGGGGGCACCCTGGTCTGAAAAGACACAATTTGACTAAGGTTGCCCCTTGGGAAGGGCTTTCCAGCTACAATGCCTGAGATTTTAGAAGGGTTGGTCGTTTTGGGAGGCTTGGTAACCAATCGGTGCATCGAGGTTTGCGTCGTGTGTCCGTTGGGTGTGCTGAAACCAGGCTCCAGCTGGGAAGGGGGCAGGATCCGGACGTCAAAATCGCTCCCTGTTCCCATGGCGCAAAGTTCTTGCTTGTTGGTTTCTTTCAAAAGCCTCCCATACAGATCGCTGGGGGTCTCACAAATGGCTTCTCCAATGTAGATGCTATAGGGCATGTTCTCCAGCCATGCCTTCAAAGGCAGAAGGTCACAGGTACAATTCCATGGGTTGTCCTCCAGTTGCAATTCCACAATGCGTCCAATGTGCTCCAGAACGCCAATGTAGGGCAGTTTCTGTATGCGATTCCCACGGATATCCAAGTGGGTGAGAGAAGCAAAACGGAAAATATTATCAGGTAGGAGAGAAATCAGGTTGTCATTAAGAATGAGGACTTTTAGCTTGTGCAACTTATTGAAGGCTCCCCGCTCGATATATTTGATTAAATTGTAGTCAGCTTGGAGATACTCCAAGTTCTCAATGCCAAGGAAAGTGTCAGCTCGGAGAACCTTTAATTCATTGTTGTTCAAGTGCAACTGTTTTAATGCACTGAGACCCAGAAATGCTCCTCCCTCAATGTTCTGTAGTTTATTATTTCCCAGCTGAAGGGACACTGCATGGCTAAAATTAAGGAACGTGTTTGGATACAGGATAATCAGGAGGTTATTCTGAAAATTGAGGTGATAGAAATGAGACCAAGGTGGTTTCAGCTGGTTCGGTCTGTAGACTGCCACCTTTTCACAGTTGACATAAAGTACATTCTCCACCGAGACACAGGAGCAAACATTGCAAATTTCCACCGATGACGAGTCAGTTTCTGGATCCGTGGAGGAAGCTGGGCTGGACAATACCAGAAAAAGCCACAGAAGCATCTTTCTCAGGTCAGCAATCAAACCTACTGTTCCTGAACAAAGATGGATAGTCTAGAAAAGACACAAAGAACATAGGTTTTAGGAACCAAAGTTCTGGAACTAAAAGAATAACCGGTAAAACAATTAAGACAACAATAACATTATTATTTTATGATGATGATGGTTACGGTTGGTCGCACAGCCAGCCAGATGTTTAGACTGATTGGGCATTTTTGTCCACCTATCGAGTCCTTCCCAAGGACCTGGGATAGGCAGATGTTGTTGTTTGATGGGGTTACAAGTATTGTTGCAGGATGTCAGTCATGGTTATGACGGTGACAATGATGCACACATGCACACTCTCTGCCAAGTAACAAGAAGGTGGTCAAATGCGTTAGAGGAATTCAAATAGGGAATAGACTCTGCACTTGAAACTAGAACTCTCAGTTTTTGCTTCTTTTTTTTGGCTTGCTTTGCTCTGCTTTGGGGTTCTCCGTCTCTCCATCTGTGGCACATTCCCCCTTCATCTCTCTCTCTCTCCCTCTCTCTCTCTCTCTCTCTCTGACATATATGCATAATGCACAACTCCAATGCATTTCTCTGCTTTGGGTAGGGCACGCATAACAGAATAAAATTACAACCGCCTCCCTGGCATTTTCCTTTCCCTGTTTTCCTTTTAAAGGTATGCTTAGCATTCCAAAGGGGCAATCGTTCTGCATGGACCCTGAAAGATTTTGATCACGTCCTTGGAAACAACACACAATCCATTCCAAAGTCAAGAGAAAGGGAGGGAAGAGAGAATCCAGAGCAAAATGCAAAGATGCAAGAAAGATACGGATTGAGGCTGAAGACGCAGGCACCCACTCTTAGACATGATTAGTTACAAATACATGATCAAGTCGATTGATTTGGAGTTATCTGCCAGCCATTGATGCATGCCTGTTATTTCTTAATATTAAGGGGGAGGGTAAAAATGGTGCAGTGTGGGAAGATAATAGAACTGTATTTAAATTGCAGCATTCATAATTTTATATGAATCAAACAATCACAATTTCAAACCAATCTATTATCTGAAAAGGACACCCACATGGGTAGGGAGAGCATAAAGTCATAATTCACTAGAGTGATGTCATTGATACTGCCCTGCAACTTTTTCCATGCACATCTTACATAATTTGCCCCAACCAGAGAAGGCTTTTCTAAGGTCTCACCCACATTCCCATCAAAGAAATAGTCTGTCCTTGAGCTCCATCTCTTTGCCTGACCCAGTAGCCTTTCCAGCCACTTGGGGCAAAAAGTCAAATTAGAATATTTCGGATCCTGCTCATTAAAATAGAGAGAGAGAGAGAGACATGCATTATGTGCATGTGTAAGAGAGAATGTATGAATAAGAACAATAGGAATTTTGAAGAAAAATAATCTTGTTGGAGAGTTAAAACAAAATAAAAATAAGGGGAGGGGTAGAGAAAGATACAAAGAGGAAAGAGGTATAAAATTAAAAGAGGAAAAAAAGGGAATTAAAGGGAAGGCCAAGGAGAGTTTGAAGGAGGTTTGGAGGAGGCTTCAGGAGACCTTTGAAGTGTCCATGTGGCATGGAAGAAAGACTAATGGGAAGGAAGGGATAAAGTGGACCAGGGACAGAAAGAAGAAACCACGAGTTTGTAGCTTGGTGGACTCCAGGGAACAAACCAGCTGAGGAGGAGCGGGGAGAATCAGAGGTAGGAGTAGAGGTCAAAATGGTGTACGTGTGGGGAGAGACAGAAGATGGGATGGAAAGTGGGGCAGAAGAAGGATTTGGGATTAGCATGGAGACCACAGGGAGATGAAGAATAGTCAACACTGGCCAATATGAGGATGATGCGTGGACATCATCAGGAGAAGAAGAGAACCAAGGATGCTTCGGGGAGACAACTGCTTTGCAACTGGGGAGCAAGAGAATCTGGGACAGGGCAGTCCGGGTGGGGAGGAGGGGGAGCTCCGGGCAGCTAGCCCCACAGCCTCCTCCC